TATATATATATATATATATATATATATATATATATATATATATACATACATATATTTCAGAATTTGAATTTTCACAAGAATATGAAACATTTATCTTTGATAATTACGCACGTAACATACATGTATAATACATTACAAGCACACATAACGTTTCTTCCTACCTTTTATCTTCAGCAGCGATTTCAGCAGCGTCCTTTTCTCTTTGTAACTCGACGAGACTGTGATAAACTCGGTGACGCCATTCTTCATTGCTTGGTAATATCAATTTTTCGAGCTCTCTGTTACGTAGCTCGTCGCTAAGAAGACTAAAATTCGGTATTTGCGTCGTAAGAAGAAGCCGAAATATTTTTGCATAGAGCGTGAATATGCTAGTTTTACGTATCTCAGTATCAACCAATTCGACATTATCGAGGGACTTGCCCGGTTCTACTGACACATCCGATGAATCGCTAGTCGACATTACTCTCAGGGATCGTAATTATCGCACAGCAAGGAATAACGAACGCTTCAACATCGTCGAATACGAAGGCGAATAAAAAGGCTTAACAGCGGAAATGAAATGGAGAAGCATGCAGGAAGGAAGCACGATTATAGCGTGTCAATCAAGAGATAGTCGAGATAGAAATTGAAGCGCATCTACAATATGCGGCACGCGAGAACTCAAGCGACTTAATTGTGCACCAGAAAGCTCGTTCGCGCGGATGCGTATCTTTCCTCCGGTCGCGATCGTTGGACGAAAAGTCAAGAGAAGACTGAAGACACCAAGTCCAAGTTGTGTCGCGCGACATCGCGTGCCTCGAAAGCGTATCCCACGAAATTGCATCTCAAACTCTTATCAGGACAAAACGAATCGGACGAGCTACTTTTACGCTATCACCAAGTTCTGTACTACTACTACTACTACTACTACTACTACTACTACTACTACTACTACTACTACTACTACTACTACTACTACTACTACTACTACTACTACTATTACTACTATTACTACTATTTATTACTAGTACTACCACTACTACCACTATTACTAGCGCATCACTTTTTTCATCCGTTTGCTATTTCATCATTGCCGAATTATTAAAATCGAAATTAAAATTTCCAAAATATGCCAAGATAGTACAGATGTTACCCAAATTCAAAGAGTAATCGGAAAATATTAATTATAGCAAGAATGATTGGAAATTTTAAACTTTTTTCCAGAAACATCGAATATATTCAACATTTTTCTTTCGCTTGTATCGATAATGAAGAAGTTTGTGTCAACATGATACGTGTCAAAGTGAGGAACGTAACCGAGAATACAACACAGTGTAACATGGACATACAAATAATTCGATTAACATATTAATTTTATTACATTGTCATCAATTTTAGTGTAGAAATGGCATTGAGACACGACTATTGTAAACGAGGATATGCGGATTCGCGAATAGTCAAAGTTACGATCGATAATATAAAAGAAAATATAGCACGCGGAGAAAGAAGAATATCCATATACGCGTAAAATGCTGTTTTCTACATATATTTATCACATATTATACCGGCGATATTCAATGAACCTATATCGAATTGCATTTCGTGCACGAGATCGAATATTTCTTTCATCGGACAAAAAGGCAATAGACAACTGTCACGTATGTGTCCGATCGATCATCTCGGAGCAACGGCAACGGTGGCAGGTACGATCGTGTTGACACAATTTCAAGTAGGAGTGAAAAAGCAAACGGCTTTTCACGTTATATACATTCGCATATAAAATACTTTCAACACACCCTTCAATATCTTTATACTCGTTTGAATTGTTTCACTTTGCATCTTAATTTTTTTGCAGCGTATAGTGTTACTTCTATTTTGTATATAATAAAAGAGATGACCATAATAATATAAATGTGATACATTGAGAGATTTACTATCAAGACTCTCTTTAAGTATCTTACAGCGGAATAAACAAGAAAACATAATATTTTAAATATTTATTAAGAAATATGGTTCAAAACAGTTATATAAATATTTTTTATATAAAATATATTTTTTATACGCATATAAAAAGGCACATTGTTTAAAGCTTCTAATGCTATATAATCCTTTCTGTATAATCTCCTCTGTATCTTTTTACATTTTTACTCGTCGAAATAAATAAAATTTGTATGATAATAATATGGCTATGAGAAAAATGGACGAAAAAAATTGATAAGATATTCTTTAAAAAACACAGCTAAAAGCAGATTCGTATTAAATATTTTTCAATAAATAGTTTTTTAATAACAGTTTAATAGGGATGGAAAGGAGAATCATGTCACGATCGTTAGTATAATTATATTATAGCTTTGCATGTAAAATCAATTAATTGTGAAAAGGATTTACTTAATTTATCCCTTTATATTTCGTAAAGAGATTATATAATACACGAAGTGTAGACTTGAGATCCAAATTTACGATGTCTGTAAGAAAAACGTTTAAATGTGACGATGATTTAAAAGATTACACGATTAAAATTTGTTTCGATTTATGAGAGCGACTTAGCTAGAAATTACAAACCTTCGGGACGAGCTTTAGGTTTTGGTAGACCAATATCTCGCATAATGTCAAATGCAAACGAAACATTATGAACTTTCTGGTCAATGGTCTTTGGTGTCAAGTGAAAGCTACCCAATGGAACAAAGAAACCTTCCAAGAGACCAAGTAACAAAATCAGGAAGACACCATCGTGAAACTGAGTATCCAAATCGGTCACTTCTAAATGTACCTTGCTCAAATGCTTATTCACGAACGTTACCAAAGACTGGAAAAGAAGGATAACATTGTATTATTTGAAAAAAAATAAGAAAAAAAGCAAGTGAACGAAAATTGCTAATACAATAAGCCATAATAAACTTACTTTCTTTACAACAGCCAATTTGTCAGGCGCGTGATCGAAAAGAGTATCAAATGCATCACGCTCGCAACGCATACCCAAATCGTCATACGTCGTTGTTAATTCTTCTCTTATCGTTCTGTGTATCAACTGGCCATCTTTTTTACGTACCACAACCACTTGAACTGCAACTCTTTCCGGTAATCTAACAGGAGCGCGAAAGAGCCGCGCTAAGCCAACTAGTAGATGAAGAATCGCAACAATATTTTTCGAATGTATAGATTCGACGCTCCATTTGTAAGGGGGATATCGACCTAGTACCCGATTAGCAGTGGATAAAACAACAGCGAGTTTTTGTTTTTGTCCTTCTTCGGATTGAGTTACTTCAGGTACATCCAATTTCTCGCCCGTCAGCTTTTCTAAAGTAAAATTTAAAAGCTTTTCATTAGGTTTCATTAAGTGAAATATAATTGCTCTCATTGTGTTACAAATTATTCTCTATGTTCTTTAAATTATAATTATGAGCGCGCGCGCACACGTACACGCACACGCACACACGCACACACACACACACACGCGCGCGCGCGCGCACACGCACACCGGTATACCCAAAAGTTTTTGTAGCACTTGTCCATCGTAAAGATCTTCTATGATATCTTTTACAATAATTCGCTGATCAGCCAATTCATCATTGATCCATTCAATTAAAACAAATATCAATTCTTGTAGTTTGGAATCTTCTAAAGATTTCGGCTCTATCATGGAACGTTCTTCATTTTCGTCAAGAGCATATTCCTCTGGTGGCATGTCAGGGTTCGCGGCATATCCAGGCGAGTCAATCGCATATTTCCCTTCTTCCTGCACATCTTTCACTATAATCATAATAGCCTGTTACATAAGTTTTTAAAACTATATCCTTCAATTTTTAAAATATTTAAAATAACTGAATAAAAATTTTTCACAATATGTTGGAATTAGATTTGTATTGGTGAATGCTACATGATTGAGATACGATTGAGAGCATAAACAAAAAGGGAAACTGTCTTCTATTTTCAAAAACTCCAATTCTCATGTATCGATTATGTCTCGCCCCATATAAGGATATAAGTTTCATCAGCAAAGATGTAACTACGTTCATGCAAATTTTTATGTTATATTACTACGAGAATTGGACAGTACCTTCCTTGATACGTTTCTTTCGCCCGAGCGTTCCAATTTTATCCCAGAAGCTTTCTTCTTTGTCCTCTTTCTTTGTGGAAACCGGGATTCGTGGTGACTTGGGTCGAGGGGACGCCATTATTGAAATTTTTCTTCTCTCCTCCTTGTTCTTCTTGTATCACATACAGAATGCTTCATAATAAATCTACATTATTTTACGCGTGACAATAGATTGTAGCAAGGAACATTTAGAGATACTATACGTAATGAAAAATTGTGTGTGTATGCCTAACAATTAAATTAAGAGATGTAAATATAAAAAAAGTTGATCAATTGTAATTCCAATAATTTCTATTAATTTTATTTTATTTAACTATAAGTAATTGAAGAACATTTATTTCACAATTAAATACAGATTATATTAATATATCACTTTTGGATTTCCTTTTTCTCTCTTCTCTACCGTAACGTTTAGAGATTTAGACATTTGATTTTAAATGTAGTCACATTATAACATTTGAATGGTCCTATATGTCAAATTATATCGCTATTATTAGCAGGACGTCATTGCTTAAAATAGATGCAAGTAATGTGTATGTATACTTTGACTATATATATAGGGTGCTTTCTATTTTTTATTAATTGCAGAAGCAGACACGAGTATTATTTTGTTCTCGTTAGGACCTGCGCACAATGAAGCAAATATTAGGAACAGGAATAAATATTAAATTGTGGAAATCAAAAATTCGTAATAAAAATTAAGTGTAACTCGTAAGGACTCGTTGAATGCTAAGAAAGATGGACCGACATTTATGTCGACTTATAGCTTTCGCACACTGAACGCGACGAGCGACGAGCAATGAGCGATGTCCAATGAGAGCTTTACTTTTTCAAACGTTCCCGGAAAAGCTGCACGCTCATTGGATATCGCGCATCGCGTGTCGCGTCATCGCGCTGGTCTAAATCCAGCATTACTCAACTGTTGTATTTTCTGAACGCGACCATTTATACCTGGATGCACTCTAGTATTATTTCTGAATGCACTCAAGCATTTCTGGATTGGCCAATCGATAAAATTCAGTATTCCGATTGGTCAGTATGATTCACATGTAACGAGACGTGACTTTCTTACAGTTTTCAGATATATTCTTCGAGTTTAGCGCTGGCTCGACTCGAGAAATGCCTGAGCAGAATGTCAGCGATCAGTATCCAACATGGGTAAGGAAAAGTAAAATTGGAGTTGCGTTACAATATGTCACAAATATGTTATAATGTGTCACAACTGTTACAATATGATACGTGTAGCACGACATATAATCTTGGCCAGTAAACATTGGACTCTAGTCGCTCAAAAAGATTTTCATCGTAGGTCGGACTCGTGTATATCTTTAATCTCATTGTCGGAACAGGCGCCTTGACATTACCCGCGGTATTTAGCCGAGCAGGATGGGCACTCGGATTAAGTGTCATTTTAGTGTTGGCGTTCATCAGGTACGTAAAAAGAATACCTTATTGCCACAGATCCAATCCAAATTTTTCCTACCTCCCCTTTGTTTTTGTTTTTTGCCGTAGTTTTATCACGGTTACATTCGTCATAGAAGCGATGGCCTCTGCCAATGCTATCGTTACATGGAGGCACATCCAGCATCGAAAACGCGTAGGTATAATAAATTCTAACTGTATCTCTAATCGTTTTAGGCAAAAGACAAAGTCAAATATTCTATGTTGATATTGTTTTAGAATATTTTACAAAGATGTAAATTTACGATAATAAAATATTCTAATATTCTAATTAACAATGCTAGGTGTACATACAATATTATTTTTATTATGCATATATGCCTGTGTATATTTATGTATTGAAATATTAAAAATTCAAATACTTTTTAGGTTTTACAAATTATAGGTGAATCTGGTTCTTCTAATTCAGATTCAGAGGATACCCCACTGGTAGCTCCTCTTTCGATCAGTCCAGATCATTCAGATATGACATGCAGATATTATGTGATCTATGATAAGATAGAAATGGGTCAAATGGCATCCATCTTTTTCAACAAATTTGGCACTACTTTATTTTACTTATGTTTTGCTGTATATTTATATGGAGATTTAAGCATTTATAGTGCGGCAGTTGCAAAATCACTAGCAGATGTTGCCTGCACTTATCTGCCAAAAAATCTTACGTGCAACGACACCATACCAGATACTGAATTTTGTTGGGAAGGTTCTACGTTTAATCGATTGGATGCATATAGAGTGTTCCTGGTATGTTATAATTTTATGTAAAATTTTATTATTTTTGATATTCATTTTGGTGCTTTACTTTTGTTTGCTTTATCAAATTCATCATAATTTTATCAAAATCCAAGTCAAATTAGCGCGACAATTACACTATTGTGATTGTTCTGTTAATTTTATTTTCAGACTACATTTGTATTATCGTTGGGCCCATTTGTATTTTTTAACGTACAAAAGACCAAATATCTTCAACTATTGACTTCGGTAATGCGATGGATCGCATTCACCGTAATGATCGTGTACGCTTTGAAGAATCTTTTGGTACATGGTCCTCGTGGTGATCCACCTATTGCGAGTTTAACCGGTAAGCTGGAAGATCAATAGAACGATAATCAATAATTGTCAATTTATAATTCTTTGCTAAATAGATCTTAATGCTATTATTAGATATAGGTAGAACATAATCGTGAATAAGCGAAGTAATATTATTAATTGTTGTTTTAGGAATTCCTAGTCTTTTTGGCGCTTGCGTTTACTCTTTCATGTGTCATCATTCATTACCAGCTCTGGTTGCACCCATAACAAACAAGTCTAAATTAAATCGATTTTTAGCTCTCGATTATACTCTAATCGCTCTCTTTTATTTATTATTGGCTCTAACAGGTATCTTTGCCTTTGATCGTTTGGATGATCTGTATACTTTGGATTTTGGGCCACGTGGTTCCGGTGACTGTTCCAAGAGTGAAAATATTTTCATGCTTCTCGTGGAATATTTCTTAGCGCTTTTCCCCGTATTTACTCTAAGTACCAATTTTCCCATCATAGCGATTACTCTTCGAAATAATTTGCAGTCGCTTTTTTTAAAGGAGGATACATCTTATAATTTATGTCTTCAGAAACTTGTCTTCCCCGTCTTAGCGGTAATACCACCGTATCTGATCGCAATGATTACCAAAGATCTGTCGATATTAGTTGGTATTACAGGATCGTATGCCGGAGCAGGAATTCAGTATTTAATACCTACTTTTTTGGTTTATTACGCCAGGCAAAAAACTAACAAAATTATCGGTCTCGGAGTCGTTAACAAATTTGCAAGTCCTTTCTCAGGCAAGTGTTGGCTTATTTTTGTTATAGTATGGGCCAATGCTTGTATGATTTTAGTGTCGGTCAATTTCGTACAAATACACTTTCAATCTTCTTGGGTTAGTTAATAATAAAAAGGAAAAAAATATTTATATTATTATAATCAAAAGAAAAGAGAACGTCATTTTTACGCTAAATAAGTAAATCGCTAAAAATATCGTGATACAAACGCAGGATATTTACAAAAATTATGTATTTTCATTTACGTTTAAAAATTTAATAGTAAAAGTATGAATAACTTTATCAAAGTAACGATCGGCCGATATTGTTGAGTACTACGGATATTGAACGACGGTGACCGAAGCAATAGATAGGAATTGAGAGCGATGGTTATTACAATGTGTAAAGTGACCGATTCACGATATGTGAAATCTTAAAGTGAAATAAACGATCCAAGATGATCGTTATTTGGCGGGATACGCTCACACGTGCATATGTTGAGCTGATAATACTTTGGTATACACCAGTTTTCACGACTGGTTCGTAGTCGGGTCCCGTCGTGACGCCGGTCATGGGGATTCGAAAGAATACACGTA